GGTGCAGGTATGGATATCAAGCACATTGGTCATTCTATTGTTCCAAGTCCTATCCGTGATCTGCACCTAAATAATATTCTCCATGTTCCAAAAGCCTCAAAGAATCTTGTTTCTGTTCATCGCCTTGCTAAAGATAATTCTGCTTTTCTAGAATTTCACCCTGATCATTTTCTTATCAAGGACCAAGCCACGAAGAGAACGATCCTTAGAGGGCGCTGTCATCGCGGGCTGTACCCCCTGCCTTCAGATCACTCAATAAAGCAGGCGCATGCAGTAGACAAGCCTTCAGTGTCCACGTGGCATAGTCGTTTGGGTCATCCTTCCCTTTCAGTTGTTTCTAGGATTATTAATAATCATAGTCTTCCATGTTCTAGTGAGTCAAATAAAGAGACAGTCTGTGATGCTTGCCAGCAAGCTAAAAGTCATCAGCTTCCATATACTAGATCTGTCAGTTCATCTAGATTTCCTTTGGAACTTGTCCACTCAGATGTTTGGGGTCCTGCAGTTGATTCTGTTGGCAGGAAGAAATATTATGTGAGCTTTATTGATGACTACAGCAAATTTGTGTGGGTTTATTTCCTAAAATATAAATCTGAAGTGTTTCAAAAGTTCCATGAATTTCAAGCTATGGTAGAGCGACAATTTGATAGGAAAATCCTAGCTATGCAAACTGATTGGGGAGGGGAGTATCAAACTCTTCACAACTTTTTCTCCACAATTGGTATTATCCATCACGTGTCTTGCCCTCACACCCATCAACAGAATGGAGTCGTAGAGCGCAAACACCGTCACATCGTTGAGGTTGGGCTTTCCCTTCTTGCGCATGCATCGATGCCTCTGAAATTTTGGGATGAGGCGTTCATGATGGCTGTTTTTCTTATCAATCGTACACCCAGCAAGATAATTCATCAGCAAACCCCCCTTGAGCGCCTCACAAAAGTCAAGCCGGATTACACTAGTTTCCGGATCTTTGGTTGTGCCTGTTGGCCTAACCTTCGCCCATACAACAAGCATAAACTTGAGCTTCGGTCAAAACGCTGTGTTTTTCTTGGTCCTAGTCCCTTGCATAAAGGCTACAAATGCCTAGAAATTTCTTCAGGGCGTGTTTATATTTCTCGTGATGTTGTCTTTGATGAGGGAGTTTTTCCTTTTTCCGCCCTTCACAGCAATGCTGGAGCACGACTCCGGGCTGAAATATCCCTCCTTCCATCTGGCCTCACTAATTTCCTTGGGACGGAACAATTAAATGATCAAGTGTTTGATTCCAGTAATCCTGCTAACAACAATGGTGCATCATGTGATATTGATTCAGGTGTCTCCGGCACGGAACCTGGAGTTGATTCGGCGCGAGATCCCAGGCTATCCACCTCGGGAGTTTTTCCCCAGGCGACAACAGCTGCGGGCGCCGCAGACGCTGTCCCCCCGATGAGTCCCGGCGCATCCCCTCAGGACTCCGTGCCTCCAGTGGCCGACACGTCGCTGCTTGCAGTCGACCCGACCCCGCCCTCCCCTTCGCGCCAGTCCGCGGAGGCCACGCCGCCCGACCTGCCGACGTCTCCTCGTGCTGCCGCCCAATCCCCATCGGCTGCGGGCGCGGGGGAGGCAACTCTGCCTGCTTCCACTGCTCCGACAGGCGCGGCATCGGCGGCTGCGGGATCCTCTGCGGCAACCGGCGCGGCATCAGCGGCTGCAGGATCCTCTGTAGCAGATGCATCTCCATCAGCAGCGCAGCAAGAAGTGCGACATCAGACTCGTCTTCAGACCGGTATTCGAAAGCCCAAGGTCTATACTGATGGCACGGTCAGGTATGGATGTTTTACATCATCAGGAGAACCACAGTCATTAGATGAAGCATTGCATCATAAGGATTGGAAACTAGCTATGGATGCTGAGTATAATGCTTTAATTGACAATAAAACTTGGCATCTAGTTCCACCTAAGAAAGGGATTAATGTTATAGATTGTAAATGGGTGTACAAAATTAAGAGGAAATCTGATGGATCATTGGATAGATATAAAGCCAGGCTAGTAGCAAAAGGGTTTAGACAACGATATGGCATTGATTATGAAGATACCTTGATCCGCTTGTCAAACCAAATGCACTATCGAGTTGTGCTATCTCATTCTTTGTCTCTAGAGGCTGGAGTTTACGCCGATTAGATGTCTGTAATGCTTTCTTGCATGGTTTTTTAGAAGAAGAGGTATATATGAGGCAGCCCCCTGGATATGAGGATAAGTCAAGGAAGGGTTATATTTGCAAACTTGACAAGGCTTTGTATGGGCTAAAACAGGCTCCGAGAGCATGGTACTCACTACCCGAAAGCGAAGAGTTGTGCCAACTGGGTTTTAAGGCATCCAAAGTGATACTTCCTTGTTTTATTATCGACGGGTCCATTGTTGTGTTTGTTCTTATTTATGTGGATGACATAATTGTTGCTAGTTCTACCCGAGGAAGCTACAACTCGTTTGCTCTGAGGATCTGAGGAAGGAGTTTGCACTCAAAGATCTAGGGAGTTGCACTATTTCCTTGGCATTGAGGTAAAGAAAATAAATGATGGTATTCTGTTGTCTCAAGAGAAGTATGCAAAGATGTTCTGCAGCGAGCTAACATGATGGCGTGCAAACCTGTTGCGTCACCCATGTCCACCTCGGAAAAATTGTCTACACATGAGGGAGCTCCTTTGGGGCCGAAAGATGCCACAACTTACAGGAGTATTGTAGGCGGTCTACAATATTTGACTCTGACACGGCCAGATATTTCATTCTCTGTTAATAAAGTATGTCAGTATTTACATGCACCTACAACTACTCATTGGGCTGCGGTAAAAAGGATATTGAGATATCTTAAGCATACATTGAGAATTGGACTTAAAATATGCAAATCATCATCTCTTCTTGTTAGTGCCTTCTCTGATGCAGATTGGGCAGGAGATCAAGATGATAGACGGTCTACAGGGGGATTTGCAGTTTTCTTAGGATCCAATCTTGTTTCATGGAGTGCAAGGAAGCAAGCTACTGTATCAAGATCAAGTACAGAAGCTGAATACAAGGCAGTTGCCAATGCAACAGCAGAGGTAATGTGGATTCAAACTCTATTATGTGAGTTAAATATTTTAGCGCCTAGAGCAGCTAAGTTATGGTGTGACAACATTGGAGCAAAATATCTTTCGGCCAATCCAGTGTTTCATGCTAGAACAAAGCATATTGAGGTTGATTATCATTTTGTACGAGAACGAGTAACAAGGAAACTTCTTGACATAGAATATATCTCAACACGAGATCAAATAGCAGATGGATTTACAAAGCCTTTGACTGTCCGTAGTTTAGAAATGTTTAAGGACAATCTAAACTTAGGAAGTTTTGATTGAGGGGGAGTGTTAGAGTTTGTTATCATGAATCTAAACTAACGAGCCTGGACTTGTGCGGTGCATGAGATTGGAGGTTGTTAAGGTTTGTTGGTGAATCTTCTAGAGATCATATCTTGTGTAACAACCTAACAGCTGAGACCTATCCATGCACCGGCTCTCCTGACTCGTTCCTATGTAAAAGGCCACGCAAGGGGCTGTTCCTTGTCAAGTATTAACATGCACACGCCAAGCCTGACGGCCTCTGGCGTTCCACCAAGCTTCTAGCGCCTCTGAATCTTTACAGTCTCTAGATGCAACAAGGCCACGCCCACCACGGCAACACCACTCCTCACAGCCTCCAGCTTCCCTCCCTTGAGGAGCAAGGAACGACTCTTGGAGGAGCTTCGTTCTTTTCAAGCACAAGGCAGATCAGATCGATCAAAGCGCAGCAAAAGGCGAGGGGAAGTCCGGAAGTGACGACTGACACATGCATGCATGCCAAGTTTGTTGACAGTTCGAGCTGGCACCTGGCACCCAGAAGAATTCTTGGCTGCTCTGCTCTGGCTTGCTCCATAAGAAGCACTTGTTTCTTGAGGGCTACTACTACTCTGTATTGTAGGAGTAGTGTGGTCTGGTGCCACATGACATGAGGAGAGGACTGCAATCGGTATGTGTGTGAACGCAAGACTTGAACTACTCCGTGTTCTAGTCAATGCGTTTTCTAGCATTTACAGGCTGGTCAACTGATCTCCAGCTGCAGAACATGTTGAGTTTACTAGTAAATGGCGTCTAGATAGTAGATACAAGCAGTAAACACATTGTCAGCAGTAATAAACTGTTAGTCCAAGTCCAAACTTGGAGAAGGTAAAACGATGGTGGCATGGAGAGAAAATATCACTGCCCCGGATAAAAAGAAAATGGATCTACTAGAAACGGGCACGAAGCGCACACATGTCAGGGGTGAGCTCATCCAAAGCACCTGGACAAGTGTCATGGTGGTTCACATCACAACAGATCCCACACACAAAAGCCTCCCCCAGCTTTCCTGCCAACAACCAAGCAGACGTGTTTACGTGTACGACAGCGTCTCTGGGATATACTCCTACCTCTCGCGGTCTCGCTGCAGTGCAGGGGCGATCGCTTGGCCGGCGTCGCGCGCGGACAGGTCGCGGCACCGCGTCCTAAAAATTCTCTAGAAGCCGGGGGCAGCGGCAGGGACGACGACGAGACGCCACATGACACGAATCGCGCGTTTCTGGAGATGGAAATATGGAATGGAGCTGCGGTTGCTGGGCACGCCTGCCGCCTGCGGCGAGAGCGAGATGATGGGGGTCGCGGCCCGGCGTCGGCGTGTTGTGCTGCTTGCCACATTTGTCGGCAACTCCCAAAGTTGCTGAGAAAATGTCCAAGCTTTTAGCATTGGACGTTGCTTTGGGTTTGGGACATGAGGGTGGTGGATTAGATATGGTTGGGTAAGGGTTGGGTATAGTTTTCCAAACGTGCTGGCACGGCACTAGCCTGCCACGGCACGGCACGCTAGGCACGGCTGATGAACCGTGCCGTGCCGTGTCGTGCCACCGTGCTCGACTCTAGGCCCAAGCACGACACTATCATTCCTGGAGCGTGCCGTATCGTGCCATGCCGACTCCAGGCTCAGCGTGCCCGTGCCGGCCCAGGCACTAAACGGGCAAAACCCCTCAATGAACTCAGCACAGCGTCGGCATCAGCCACGTCGACTGGGGGGTCGAAGTCGTCGACGGGAAGGGGATCAGCAACAGAACGGCCGAAGAGCACGGCAGTGTCCTCGTGGACATCATCGTCCTCATCATCTTCGGCCATCCCGCACATACGCAGCTCGTCGTTCTGGGAGTGGTCAAACTCCCCGTCGTCATGTCGGCCAGCGCCTGGGGCCATCTCTGTCGTCTCCGGTTCCTCGATGGCTGCCACAATCAACAAATAAAAGCAGGGTTAGGTTGAGGATTAGGGTTTGGGTTAGGGTTAGGGTTTACCCTTACCTCTACGGCTGGAGCCCCGTAAACGACGACGATGAGACGGACCGATTGCACACCCCTGGTACCTCAACAGAGACCGGAGCCCCGGAGGTGGCGGTAGCCAGCGACGTGGACGACGGACAGATGACGGAGATGCGGCGAGGATGCCGAGAACGAGGCTCAATAGACGTTCAGGGATGAAGAATAAGGGAGCAGATGGAGATTGAGGGCGGGAAGCACCGGATCTGAGGGAGAAGAGGGAGATTGAGGGCGGGGAGGGAGAAGAGGGAACCACCGGCCACCGGAACTGACCCCTTACCCACCGGAAGACTCCATGGTGACGACGTCGAGGAGCCCAGGTTACGAGTGCGGCAAAGAGCGGCGAGCAGGCAAGGAGCTAGGGTTACGAGTGCGGCGAGGAGTGGGCGAGCGACAGAGTGAGCGGGGAGAGCCGGAGAGGAGAGGGTGAGAGGCTAGGGTTACGAGTGAGGGGAGTGGGGAGAACGGCCGCATCGGGCGGCTTATATACCGGACCTCCCGGCCGCCCGGCGATCCAACGGCTCACGCCCCGCCTCCGCGATCCGACGGCTGCGAGCCGTGCCTGCCCCGTGCCGCCCGTTGGAACGGGCCATGCCTGGGCCGGCACTACGGGCCGACCTTTCGGCTCAGTCACGGGCACGGCTACGGGCCGGGCCGGGCACGGGCACGGGCGAGGCCGGGCCGTATCGGGCTAGGGCCGTGCTTTTTCGCACGGGGCCCGTGCCAGCCCGTTTCGCGCGGCCCGTTTGGAAATTTATAGGGTTGGGTTGGATGATTGGATCTGTGACTTGTCGACGAGGTGTTGATCGCTGTCACTTCATGTGTTCCGAGGGTAAACGTTAAAACGTTCCATAGTTTTCACTCAAGAGATTACTGCATGTACGTTCGTCTTGTTCTGCTGGATAGTGATGCCGCATCATAGAATGGACTGGGACTATGTTTGGGGTGTGGTGTGGATGTATTTGACAGGAAAATGGTTAGAGTGTCGCAGGGTTTCTCAATCAATAAAAAAGTCCTGTATTCAATGGTTCCTAAGTCGGAGTCATCATAAATAAAAGAAAAAGGGGGTGACAAAATTATAAGACGGACAGAGGAAGAAGAGGAAGAAGAAAACAGGGGGCCATTTGACCATGAAAAGTAGTTTTTGCTATTTCTTCAGCAGAGATATCAAGATGGAGTACAATTGGATCACTGGTGAAATTCGCATGAACATCTAGCTGCTGCTGATGCGCATAAGCATCGGCAGCTCCTACATTGTGCACAGGGTCATTGCCAACATCCGAGTCAGCGCCAAAAAGCTCAGCAGCCTCCAGTTCAGCTTCCGATTCGTCTCCCCAGAACAATTCATAGCTCGTCGTCTCAGCTGCCGGCGCAGCCACGGGTGGTACGTCAGGGACTTCACGGTGCGCCTGCTCCGATGATGTCGCCACCGCCGTGCTGGGAATTTCACATTGCGAGGTTGGAAATTTCACTTCTTGGACAGCGGCGGCGGCGGCGGCGTCAGAAAGTTCGGAGTAACCGCTGCACACTTCGATCCAACCATCCTCGGATTCCCAGTCCGGCAAGGCCGAGCAGGGGCCTGCTAGTGCCCTGATCCTGTCGGCTGCGCTCTCTGGCATCTCCTCCTCCTCCTCTTCTGACTCCCAAAATGCGGCATCCAGCGTGCTCTTGGGAGACACCCACTTGGGCTTTGCATCCTCTGCTTTGCCGGCGGACGCCAAGAACGGGTGCTCCAGCAGCTGCGTCGCCGTCCACCGCTCGCTGGCGTCTCGCCTCAGGCACTTGTCCAGGAAATCCTTGGCCTCCGCCGACAGCCACTCCGGCGCCTCGGGCACGGCGTCCGTGTACCCGATGAGGCGCACCGCGGCGAGCACGTCGTCCACGTGCGTCCACGGGGCGCGCCCGGTGGCCATCTCGATGACGGTGCATCCCAGCGCCCAGACGTCGGCGGCGGGGCCCTGGTCCTCCCCGCGCGCCACCTCGGGCGCCATGAACGCCGGGGTGCCGCCGATGGGGCCCCTGCTGGAGCCCGCCCTCTTCGCGCACCCAAAGTCCGCGAGCATGGTGCGGCCGTCGGCCCCGATCACCACGTTCCTCGCCTTGACGTCGCCGTGCACCACGGCCGCCTCCTCCCCGTGGAGGTACGCGATCCCGCGGGCCACGTCCGCCGCGTACGCCCGAACGGCGGGCTCCTCCAGGCGGCCCCCGTTCCGGGCCACCGCGTCGGCCAGCGAGCCGCCGGGCGCGAACTCGAGGAGCAGCTGGAACTCCTCCTCCCCTCCCGCGGCGGCGCGGAAGCCCAGGCAGGGGAGCACGTGCGGCGAGCGGAGCGAGGCCATGATCCCGCCCTCGCGCCGCAGCTGCGCCGCCGCCGCCGTCGCGCCGCCCGGCGCCGACTTGACGGCCACGAGCTCGCCCTCGCCCGCTGCGAAGAGCGACACGACGGCCCCCGACGCGCCGCGGCCCAGGGTGCGGAGCCGCGTCAGGCGGCGGCCGCTGATCCCAGCATCCGTCGGTATCATCTGTGGGTGTGGATTCGTGATCCCACTGGGTTTCTTTCGGTTTCTTGGGGCTAGGTCTCGGGCAATGCAATTGGAGTCTGCGTGGCCGCGATGCCGCCGATCTGGCTGCGACCGCGTATTTATAAGCGTGGGCGCGTGGGTTGGGGGAGGCCGAGGCCGAGCCGAGTTCGGTGGCGCGGTCGCGAGAGCACATGAGGAATGCGGTGACGCGGGGCGGGGGCGGGGGCGGGAGGCCGAGCCGAGTTCGGTGGCGCTCCCGCTCTCCGCGCTCCGCTCGCCGCGTGCGGTGACTGACTTGTGGGCCGCGCAGGGCGGGTCCTGATCGGTCGAGATATTTGGCCACGTGGGACGCACCGAACGTGGGTTTTGCGGGCAAAGCACAAGTGGAAAACGAGGACGAAATGGTTATTTGGGGCTGCAGGCTTCTTCTGGATGCAGAGGACCCGCGTGTCGGTTCCGGGAGGAAGCTTCTTGGGTTTTTATTTGTGGTGCGGTAAACCAAACAACAATTAAAATTCATTTACAGTAAAGAAAAAAATTCTCAAAGTGCGGCCCATAGGATACTACATTTGCATAGCCCCATGGATATCACGAGACAAAGTTATCTAGAGGTATTAAAGCCGTAGATAACATGGCTATATTACTATGGATGAATAAATATCAAATAGCAAGAATATAAATAGGTAAAGGAAGTGTTGATGGCCAGTACATGAGATTTATGATGGTGGAAGAGCAGAAGACTTGATAGTGTATAGAGTTATTGGATTTTTTTTAACTAAATAAAAAGATGTTGTATAACATGCAAAATATCCATACATAGGAAAACAATATCTTAGTTTTATTTTTCTTATAAGGAGCATTCTTGCCATAACGATGAATAAGTAGATAGCTCTAGCTGCTAATAGCAATGAATGAGTAGATAGCTCTAGCTACAAGGTCAATCCACTGCTCATAAACAAATGTCGCTCATCATCTAATAGCTCATGTTAATGGCAGGTTTGGATAGCGGTGATAGACAACAAAAACCTCTTCTTTTTTTCATGATGGCTAGCAGGAGAGTATTGGTATTAAAATCCTTTTGGGTGTTGTTGGGAATCTATCTAGAGAGTCTTAAAGAAATGTCTTGCCTTTTCAACACCGAGGCCCAACCTCAGGCATTGAAGAAAAAAATCATGCGAGGTGCGGCCGAAGAGGATACTACGACATTTATCTAGTTCAATGAATATGCATGAAAAAAGTTATCTAGAGTTTGTCGGCATCGAAGTTGTAGATAACAAGACACCATAAAAAGTGCATTAAAGGTGTTGGTTGTAGATATGAGTGTGGATGCTTGATAGAAAGAATAGAAATATGTAACACAAGTGTTGTTGTCAACGCATAACATGTGTGGAGGAGGAAGAGCACAAGACATGTAGTCCACTTGATAGTATTTACGATTGTCGGATTGTTTAATGGAAAGGGATTTTGGCGACGTCCAAAATACCCATAGAAAAAAAATGTCCTAGTTGTATTTTGCTTATATGGAGCATGAAATGCCTAAGAGATAACGCTATAAAGTCAATTCACCACTTATACAACAATATCGTTCATTATCTAATAGCTCATGTTAGAGACGTGTTTGGGTAGCAGTTATATCCTTATGGGCACCAAAACCCTTTTCTTTTATTCAAAATGGTTGGCAAAGATCTACCAAGTGTTTATTAATAGAGAGACGAGAGTATCAGCATCAAAATCCTTTTGGGTGTTGTTGGGAATATATTTGAAGAACTCCTAAAGCAATGTATCTTGCTTTTTTTAACACCGAGTCCCAGCATGAGGTGTTCAAGAAAAAAAAACATGCAAGATGCAGCTAAAGAGAATACTATGACTTGCTACTTCAATCAATGTGCATGACAAAGTTATCTAGAGTTTTTTTGGCATCGGAGCCACAACTAACAAAGACACCACAAAAATGCATTGAATGTGTGTTCTTTAGATGGGAGAATATATGTTTTTTAGATCTATGGTGGTGGATGAGCAGAAGATATTTAGGATTGTCGTTTTGTTGCATCGAAAGGGGTTTTGGTGACGTCCAAAATATCCATAAGAAAAGCAATGCCCTAGCTGTATTTTGCTTATATGGAGCATAAAATGCCAAAATGACGATAAGTAGATAACACTACACATTCAATACCACCGCTTATACAAAACGCCGCTCGTTATCTAATGGCTTATGTTAAGGACGTGTTTGGATAGCAGTGATAAGCATCATAATCCTTATCCTTCTCCAAAATGGCTAGCAAGAGATCTGCCAAGCTTGTATTGAAAGAGGATAGTATCAGCATCAAAATATTTTTGGGTGTTTTTTATATCTATATAAAGAGATCTTAGGGAAAATATCTGGTTTGACCAACATGGAGTCCCAAGATGAAGCATTGGAGAGAAAAAAACATGCACGGTGCAGTCAAAGAGGACACTATGATATTTAACTAGTTCAATGAATGTGCATGATAAAGTTATCTAGAGTTTGTTGGTATTAAAGCTACAACTAATTAACATGACATCGTAAATTTCACTGAGAAGGGGTGGTTGAAGTAGCATTTAACTAGGCATCGTAAATTTCACTAAGAAGGGTGGGTGTGGATATGAGTCTAGATAAATCTATAGCAATAATATGAACATGCAAAGTAAGTGTTGAGGGACATAAAGATTTGTAGTGGCAGAAGAGACGAAGACTTGTGGTCCATTTGATAGTATTAGGGTTGTTTGAAGAGCAAAATATCCATAACAAAGACAATGCCATGCTTGTATTTTTCTTAATTACATGGAGGAATGAAAATGACAAAATAACACATAAATAGATTATGCTATATTGTAAATTCGATTACGGTACTGCTAATCATCTAATGGCTTATACACAATAACAGTCATCATCGACCTCAAAGTCTTTTCATTTTGCAAAAAATAGTTGGCAAGATATTCGTCGAACCTATATATTAAGAACATGGAACCATAATACAATGTATTAAAGTTATCCATCTAACATCAAAACTGCCACAAACTAAAGTCTCATTATTTACCACACCCAAAGTAAATAGGCAATTCAGGGAATACGGTAATGTGAATACATATAAACTGGGTCATATGTAGTTGCCCACCAATCATATATACAATACAAATGCTTTGTTTGGATCTCATTGTCTAAAATTTAGTCACTAAAGCTTATATTGTTTTAGCTTTTGAGACTCCAAACAAATAGTGTAGAGTTCTATGTAAAGATTAGTCAACCTTGCAAAAAGACCATAGGCTAAAGTGATGTGTCTTAACTTTAGGCAGCTAGCCTTTAGATCGTAGGATCCAAACCGTTATATATATTAACAGTATATTACTGAAAATTAAAGATTTCGTCTAGGTTATCCCACTATCAACAATTCTGTATCAAAACGAGAAGTAATCCATTGCAATAACATGCAGAGAAGCCTCTGAGAATTAGATGAGCTAATCTGCACGCCGTGTTAGGCGGCCACGACCCACGCGTAACGATTTGCTCTCATCAGGCCACTCATCACAACTCTCGCCACGTTTATCTGCTGATGCAAGCCATGCAACCCCGTGGTTGACCCAACCTCGCTACCGCTTAGCTCCTGCCTCCTGCAGCCTCTTTCCCCCAGCTGCAGCCGGGTGTGCTGCCATAGTGCCATGCCATGCCACATCGCCATCTGTTTCCGGCACGCCTGGTGCCCGGGAGCTGGCGGAGCACAGGTTGGTAGGTTCAGCCGAACAGCGGTCCGCTGCATCCTCGGCGCCGGGCGCCGGCGCTTTGACAAGTGTGGAGCGGAACCGGTGTTTGGTGCCGCTCGCTCTCCTCCTTTTTCTCAATGCAGAGACCGGAAAGAACACACTTGTCCTTGGCAGGATCCGCGGTTGAACGTGAACGTGTGGGGGCAGGCTACGCGGCAGGACAGATGTGACCCCTTCGTTCATGTGTCCAGCTTCAACAGAACTGTTACTGTTTTGCTTATATTACAGTATACATAAACACCCATTTGCTTATATTAATGCTTGGACCAAGCTTAGGGGCTAGGAAACGCGTAACCGTGGGCGAGCTCCAGTTTTTTTTTAAACATGCATCTACGCTCCAGTTTTTTTCGGTCGTGCATCTACATTGACGGGTGACGCAACACGCACTTGGGTCGCAAATCCAGTACTAACGTAACTTACTGTACCCTGTAACCATCTGCAACTTTGCAAATTGATGAGCGACGCAACACGCACTTGGGTCGCCGAATCCAGTAGTACGTACTGTACTGTACTCCTATATATATGTGCAACTTTGCAAAGCGGTGTTGAACAAGAACAACCGTCGGTGTGATATTCTCTGACGTCGTCTGGCGATGGTTAGTTCTGCTGCGTGCCAATTGATGATGCCGCGGCAAGCTCTACGACGACACCAGGCGCTCGCTGCTGATGTGAAGTCAGCCTGTGTCGGTCGTTGTTTATCCACGAACACATAAACAACGTAGTTAACTTTTTTTGTGAACAGCAGTAAGATTTACTTAACTGGGTACCAAGATCCGTCGCAAATTATGGTGTCATGACGATGGAAGTTTCTGTACTGTCACTCCTACACAAAGTCCATTACCATAGATTATTGTTAAGTGCCTGACTAGTAGCTAGAGGTTGACACGAGTAGTACTCCTAGGATTACATCTTAAGTCACATTACGGCACCACTGTAGTCTGTAGTCCGCCTATCATGTACTGCCAGGTGCACTTGGCCTTGCTTGCATGGCTCGCAAGAAGCATCGAGTTTAGCCGCACTCATCTATATAAGTAGAACTAAAGTATCTGTGACTACTCCTACTCCTAATTAATAAAAATCATGTCGTTTCACGGGATCCTCAGACGCATGACCCCTCCGCCGCGTAATCCATCCAGCACTCTCGATGCGTGATCGCCGAGACGGCGATTTAGACGCTGCAGTGCATCAGGACGCGCCCGTGACAGCGATCGGCTGAAACATGAAAGTAATTAACCGTCCGGATCTCTCTCCGGTCCTTGAAGATCATTCCTTCCCTCGGTCCGTTGCTTGGAAGGGAGGGCAAAGGCGGCGAAAGCAACGGAAAAGCACCCGGGGAAAAGGCACTCATCAGCCGGCGAGTCAGCACGAGCACCCGGGGTGGGGGTAACCGAAAAAGCCGCGGGCTCACCTCGCTCTACTGCTCGGGTGTGAGCTGACGACAATCAGATGATGGAAACGAACGGGCGAGGCCCCCATATATCCGCAACGCCCGCCGGTCACTCGTGGACGGCGGTGCGTGGACCGTGGACTCGCTCCGTGGTCCGGCTCCGGCCTGACGCCGTCCGACTCAGACGACGTGCGGCGGTTTGTGTGCTCGGTGCGGTGCCGTCCACTTGTACTCGCGCGCGGTGCGTCCATGCCGGGCCTGCTCAGTCTGACGCGCTTGCCGCCTGGGAAGATACTACCCATACCGCCGTCCCCGTATCGGTGCGAGTGCGAGCCTGCTGCGGCGCGGCGGCGACCATATCCATGACCGTGCCTCCAATTTCAGAATTTAACACTATACAAAAAGAACATTTTCCGTCACATCAAACTTGCGGTATATGTATGAAGTATTAAATGTTGACGAAATTAAAAACTAATTGCCGATTGTCTTTCGGTTTTGGCGAATTAATCAACGATTGCCTTACCAAATAAATGCGGGCGATGATTCGGTGGCGAACTGACGAACTCGACCCAGCGTTTCTTCGCCTTTTCAGTGATGTGACGTGACGTCCAACCATCTCGCGCCACGTGGTGTTGGATCCGTCCGGCGAGTGACCTGAGAAATCCGAACCAGCGCTGCGTCCGCGTCGCACATTACATTTGTGTTGGGAAGATTACTCCGCGAGGGAGGGATTGCTGAGGCAGGCGGCGCATCGAGCATATCGCTGGCTTCGCTTGCGTGCGTGATCAGACGGCTGGCAACCGGCTGTACGTGCCGTGTGGACCAACTGAGCTGAGCTAGTGAGCTACGCCCCCCTCTCTTTCACAGTCTGGAAACGTTGGAAAAGCACAGGCGGACAGCGGTGAAGGGTGAGAACCTACAGCGCGGACAGGAGCCACGGGCCAGCTCCTCCTGATCCCGCACCGACACGCTAGCGCTCGAGGAGTCCGCAGTGCATTGGCAGGCAAGCAGGGGAAAGCGCTGGCCGCCGGGCGGGGTGGATCGGCACCCACGGCAGGATATCCCCTGCCTCCACTCCTCGTCGCGCCTAGCCTGACGGATCCCCACCGGGAGAAGCAACCGGAGTCCGGAGGACGCGAACGCGACGCTTACTTGTGAAAGGGGCACCCGCTGCTGGTACTGCTAGTGCTTGCTAGCCCCCATTTTTTAATGTCGCCAGCCGGCAGCTCGCACGTGGTCCGTTCCTGGACCCCCGGGTTACGGAGCGCGCTGGCGAAGTTAACTCCGGGATGGCATTGGCAGAGACCCTTTCTGCGTCCGCGCTGACGCTGCGCTTTTCCGTGTCGACGCGGCTCTTTCTCGCCTTGGAACCTTTGGTGCGTGCCGTGCTGGGGAAGCTCGACCGGAGCCGAGCACGGTGATTGGAGATTGACCTCTCTAGTAGGCTCTCGTGCCCTTCCCCCATCATCGTCAGGGTCACTGAGAGTTACACACAACAGTCACGGCTACGCGGTCGGCGCAAAGCGACTGGTAATTCCCTCACGGTTTTACACCTGTACGCGCAGCGGCGCAGCGGCGAATTTTACGTGTGAATTAGAAGCAGCTAACAGGAATGTTCGCGCCAGCGATTCTTATGCCAGAAAGGAAGGATTTTTTTGAAAACGGAAAGAGAAAAATTCTGGAAATCCAGAATTGGGGTGAACAGAGCAAAATTGGGGCAAGAACGAAATCCATTGCATTGTTTGTGTCACACAGTAATTTACATGGAGTTTCACCATCACAGGGTGAATTCACACGGAGATGCCACTCGTGATCAGGTGAAGCGTCGGTTTCTCCTACATTGTGGGCGCCGTCAACGTCAATGTCGAGGGGCTCGGCGGCCTCTGCCCTCACCACTTCTTCCTCGCTTCCGGCACCGCCGCCGTCGACGCAAGGGACGTCCTCGTCCGCCGGCGCGTTCGTTGCGTCGGACGACGATGCTTCGGCTGGTGCGGAGAGCACGTCGATCCAGCCCTCGTCGGAGTCCCAGTCCGGCAGCGCCGAAGCGGGGCAGGCCAGCGCCCCGATCCTCTCGGCGGTGCTCTGTGCCGACACGACGTCGTGGTCGTCGTCGTCGCTGTCGGACCCCCAGAATGCCGCGTCCAGCGTGCTCTTGGGCGACACCCATCTGCCCTTGGCGGCGTCATGCGCCGCCTGGCGGTCGCAGCTGCCGGCGTAGGCGATGAACGGGTGCTCGAGCAGCTGCGCCGCCGTGGCCCGGTCGCTGGGGCGCCGCGCCAGGCACCTTCCCAGGAAGTCCTTGGCCTCCGCGGACAGCCACCGGGGCACCTCCGGAACGGCCTCCGTGTACCCGATGAGGCGCACCGCGGCGAGCACGTCGTCCACGCCGGCCCACGGCGCGCGGCCCGTGGCCATCTCGATGACGGTGCACCCGAGCGCCCAGACGTCGGCGGGCGGGCCCTGCGCCTCCCCTCGCGCCACCTCCGGCGCCATGAACGCCGGCGTGCCGCCGATCGGCCCGTCGCCGTCGGCCGCCATCCTCGCGCACCCGAAGTCGGCGAGCTTGGCGCGGCCGTCGCCGCCGATGACGACGTTCCGCGGCTTGACGTCGCCGTGCACGAGCCCCGCCCCGTGGACGTACGCGAGGCCCGCGGCGACGTCGGCGGCGTAGGCCGCGACGGCGCGCTCGTCGAGCCCACGCCTGCCATTCCTGGCCGCGGCGTCGGCCAGCGACCCGCCGGGCGCGAACTCGAGGAAGAGCTGGTACGAGCCGTCGCGCCCGCCGCGGCCGCCGATGCAGGGGACGACGTGCGGCGAGCGGAGCCCCGCCATGAGCCCCCGCTCCCGCCGCAGCAGCTCCGCGCCCGCCGACGACGCCGGCGCGGACTTGACCGCGAACAGCTCCCCGGAATCGTGGTCGGCGGCCAGGAACACCTCCGCCCCCGACGCGCCGCGGCCCAGCGTCCGCACCCGCGTCCACCTCCCCCCGCTCACGGCCATCGCCATGCGCAGCAGTTGTTGTGAATTGCGATCCGCCTTGTTCTTGTTTCTCGCGTGCGTCTTTGCTGTTGCTTCGGTGCCTGCTGTTGTTGTTGGTGGTGGTTGTTTCTGTTGGCCTCAACTTGTCTCGAGCTGGCCTTGCCTTTTGCTCTCGTGCTGAGTCTTTTTGTGGCTGGTGCCAGATATATATATGGGATGGATAGAGGAGGATGCTTGTGCTTGGGGGCCGGGATTAGGAAGGATTGCAAGTTTAGAACATGGAAGGTGTTTAGCGTGTGGCAAAAGCGCGGCGCGCGGGGGGAGATTAGGAGGAAATCGATGGATACGGAGGCCACCAAAAGGCGTAGGAAGCAAGTCTCTTCCCCGCGGCCACGCGCTCGTGCGTAAATGCGGTGTGGTCTGTGGTGTGGACGACCCGCCGGATAGGCATGGACCTCGCCTTCTCGCGACTCGCGCGCGTGGTGGGAACGCGCGGACTTCTGCGGACTCTGCTCTGCGGGTGATTAACGGACGAACCTTCGCAGTCAACCACCCGGTCCCTCCTGGCTAGTTTGACCCAGCGCCCGTCGTCAACTCCGACGGGTCAGGCACCAGTCGTACGGTGCATACAGTCTCCATGCGATTTTTTTTCCCAGAACGGAGGGTACTCCCACCGCCCGTTCCTCGCTCGTTCGCTGACAAGTTCATGCAGTGTAGAGGAGAGAGTTCTACGAAACAGTGTGGAGTGCATCGAGGGCGGTGCGAGGGAAGGTTGGTGTACACTGCTGTGTACTTTGGAGTGACAACAGAAAGCCGTCGTGTCGAATTTTCGGTCCATGGTCCAAGTCAGCGCGTGCGCACCTGGAAGGCGCTCTTCATGCAGGCAGCCTGTGCGCTTTGCTCCGACGGGCCACGGTTGGTCGTTCCACACTCCCTTGTCTGTAGCGTTGTATAAGTCTACAGCAAAGTTACGGTGTGTAGCCACCAAATCCTCCCGCTAAACATTTAGGAAAAAAAAATGCCACCAGATCCTCCGTTAAACATTTAGGAAAAAAATACATTCTTTGTAACGCAAGCTCAGACGCAGCGGCTGCGTCAGCACTCAGCAGCAGCCGCAGCCCCCCCTGCTCTTAGACTGCGGATGGTGGCGCGCGATTGCTACTATTCCAAGCTGCTGTCGCGGTCAAATACTCAAATGCATGATGTACGGTGTCGTTCACGAACACTAACCGAAACTCGTCCCGTGCATGCACTGACTGAAACATGTGTTCGTCCGTGGCCGTGAATCATGCCGGTCGTCGTTGCTCCGCCTAAACCACGGCAGCGTCGAGGGAACGATCGACACGCATACGCACCGTCCCGCGGCGGAATATTCCCGTGCATATGCTACCCCCGCGGCGCAGCGGCACGTTCACGCAGACGCAAACGCACAGCAGGCGTCAGGCGCGGCAGCATATGCTGCTGCTGCGCGCGCCGGCGGCCACATCTCAGCGCCGCTGAGCGGAACGACGTGCGGCTACCGGACGGCGCAGACGACACTGGCACGCGAGCGATCGACGTGCCGCCGGCGCAGGCCACGCCGGGCGCAGGTGGTGGTGGGGACTCCCGCTCTGTGGCCCTACCCTGTGGCCCATGCCCTGCGCCGACCGAAAGCGGCGCGGTGGATGCGTGCGGCGTGCGCTTTGCGGCGCGGGCGGGCGGGTGGGGGGAGGATGTGTGGATGGCCGGCTCGTGGCGTGCGGTGTGGTCGCGTCGGATGCGTTGCGTTGCTTTGCTTCCTTGGCCAGCGTGAGCTCAGCTCCACTAGTCCTCTCCAGCGGCTGCCATTGCCTTACCGTGCCAGAGTGCGCCGTCGGCCCGCCCGGGCCCGCCTGGCTCTCTTCTCCTCCGCCGGCCAGCTCGCTTGATTCTACGCCACTTCACTTCCATTCCCACCCACCCGAGCCAAGTAAGAATCCGAGCTTTTGCCGTCGCCCGGCTACTTCCAGATCACCACCCGCAGCAGACGGTATGGGCGTATGGCCGGCCGCGCCGGTTCTACCGGCCTGGACGTCCGATTCAGGAATCGAACGACCGTTCCGGAGTGGCCGGCGGCGTGTCGGGGGTGCTTGGGATCAGGACGTTCGTACGTGCACGGTCAATGATACTCTACTTAGAATCCAGTGACCCAAGGACCAAGGTGGCACGGCACACGGATTGTGGCTGCGCGCACACCGGTTATGCTTCGATTTCACTTTCACCACGAGCTGCGTCGTGCGTGGGCTGTCCAGTGTCCACTGCCCGTGACGGCGGCGCCCCCGGCCGTGCCAGCCTCTGAAACACTGCAAACGCGCCAGATCTGGCGACGCGAAGATGGAGAAAAACCGGCGGGTTTCGTACGGCTTGTGATGTGTACTTCGACTTTGTGGCGATCCGGAGACGCTGCCTTTTTGAGACGCCGAAGTCTTTTCGAAGGTCACACTAAAATTTAGGAGGTACGTCGAAAAGATGTTATATGAGGTGTTTGCATATTAATAAAAAAACAAATTATATAAAGTGTCGGTACTCTACGAGACGAATTTTTAAGCATAATTAATCCGTCATTAGCACATGTTAATGTAGCAACGCATTGTCAAATCATGGGCTAATTAGGCCTAAAAGATTCGTCTCGCAAATTAGTCGCAAAATATGCAATTAATTTCGTAATTAGTCTATATTTAATATTCCATACATGTGTCCAAACATTTAATGGGACAACGACTAAAATTTAGGAGGGGCAACCAAACACCACCTAAGTCACACACAGCCGAGAAACATATATACAATGTCAACCATGATCACGTTCTTTAATGAGGGTTTCTAAGACTTAAAAAAAGTGCCAACTCGTCTAATGATTGCACCGAAATCGAATTTTCCATGATTGAGCTCGGTACCATTGTTCGTTCCACTGCACATTCCGTGGCTTGATCCTTTTCCGCGCCAATGGCAGCCAGGGTATCAGGCTGCAAGGCGAACGAATGGATCCTTTTCGCTGGACCAGCTCCAGTTGCGAAGGCTGTACGCAGCTGGTCAGCCATTTTGACGCCTCTCGATTGTTCTCTGTCCCAGGAAAAGAAAGTGCCGATGTACTTGTAGAGCTTGCCGGAAATAACGCTGATGTGCGAGCATGAAGGCGATACGGTTGACGAGCAACGAACGAACAAGGCGATACGGGATCGGAGGTCGTGCGTCCGGTCTGATCTCGCCGGACCGAAGAGATCTCCGTGCAGATAAGAGAGTGACGCCCACGAAGCCGGACAAAAGCGCGCATACGGAGGTGATGGCTGAGTTGCCTGAAGCCTACCGCGAGACGTCGTAGTGCTCGCGGAGTGCCATTTCATTTCAGTCGACTCATCCATCCATGTCGTTTGACTTGCACCCAGCACCCAAGATGAAGCAAGCCTCTTCGCGCGGTCTGCACTGCTCTCTTTTTTTTCTGAAGAAGTCTGCACTGCTCACTGGTCTCGTAGTTGCTTGCAGAGCACAGGTTCAGTGGATCCATCCTTGCCGTTCGATGTTTCACTGAAGTATTTAACCCAGCATCAGTCTGCTGTTCGCTGCACCTGTGGTCAATCTCCTAGTTGCTTGCAAGAATTCATGCATCCATTTGAGCTCAGATGTGGTTCTTTTTCCCTTGTTTTGTGTGGCTTTTCAGCAACAGGGAGTATAAAGATTGTGCTGCACTCCAGTACTAGCCAAAGGTGAGCTGAGCTGAGCTGACCGGTTATGCCTTTGAGGAATGTCAACGCTGTTGCTTGTCAATGGTGCAGGCAGTCGACGAAAAATGTCTGCGCGCTTTGCTTTATGTTTCGGATAGTTTATATATAGCAGGGTCAGCGCCCAAATTATTCTCATGAGTGTAGTGGAGTCAATGTCCTTGCAAAAGTACCGAGGGACACTGAAAAGGGAGACTCGACTTTAGGAATGAACTCAGCCACGGATGTTGTTGACTTGCAAAGGCTTGACAAACCCTGTAGTAGTTTATTCGATGGAGAAGTTGACGAACTGACAAGGATGGGATTTGTTTATTAATCCATCGTCCCCTTTTTAGGGTCGAGCGCTGTCTCGTCATATATCGATAAGATGAAGGGTATTATCTTATTGTTCCTGAAATGGATGGACTTGAGACTGAGAAGCGCACACACTGCCTTTTGGGCTGGCCAACTCCACCAGATCACATCAAGTCCAGTCTGAACTCTGAATTTGATTCCTGCAATTGGCAGCTTGCCACTGGCCTTTGGCCTTGGCGAACTGGTGTGTAGGATAAGGCTGTTAGTTGGCTAACCACTCGGTATCTGAACCGTTCGGCTGGTGTGAATTTCAGCCGGAATTCACTGTTCATGGCTCAAATTCACTGTTTAATCTCTCATAAATTCTTCCAAATTTCTCCAAATGAACATATCCTAAGCACTGCACCAAGATAATTCACTGTTCAATCTTTCACAAATTTTTTCAGATTCCTCCGAGGGAACAGGGGCTATGCACTGCACCAAGATGCATCATTGGTGGAGGCAGTTATTGTCTGCACTGCACGGTCCTGGTCAATGCTCCAATGCTCCGTAGATTGTCAATATAGTAGTAGTAGCTGAGAAACTATGGACAAATCGACAAAAGGGCTGCTGCATCAATGTGTCCATGGAATTTCTACGAACACAATCTTCTTTATTTTACGAATCTCAATCTTCTTTATTTTGAAAGAACATGTAACAGAACCAACCAATTTATAAGAGCATAAATATGAAAGCAATCACTGGAGTGATCAAACCGTCATACTTGAATCCATATAAACCCGGTAGTCAACTGAAACCACGAATGATTTCAAACCAACTTGCATACAACCAAGATCACAGTAATTCAACATAACAAGCCACATGTTACATCCATTTCACAAGTAGTTTGCAAGTACCTCATACATCAGAGTACACATAGTTATTACAAAACGAGTTCACAAATAGCGGAAACAAAGTAGTTTGAGACCATCACACACACTTAGTTCGAATACA